TTTTGTTATATTCTCTACTTTTTACAGTAGTATAACTGTAAAACGTAATTATTCGTAGGCCGTTGAACGAAATATCAATTTATCAAAAGATTTTCAATCATTTTCATCATTATTTATCAACATAATAATTAAATAATAAAAAAATGTGATTTAATATTGATTTTGAAACAAATTTTAGCAAATTTTACTGTTAGAAGAATTTTCTAAAAAAAAATGTCATACATCTTTTTTCCATCATAAATAAAATAATTGATTGATATCAAATGGTGAAGATTCATGGTAATATTATTTTAATATTACATTTAATTATTTATTATTCAACATATGTGTAAACAATGTGATGATAAAGAAGAAAAAAAATGTTACAGCTTTTTTTTTTTTACATGATTAATTTTCTCATCTGTATTATTTACAAAAGTGAGATTCTTTTAAATGGCGTAAGTTTAGAAAAAAAAAACATAGACTAACTAGTAAGTTCCATTAAAAAGCAGGAAGTATACTTATATAATAAAGAGTAATATTGCCATAAGTTATAAATTGTAACAGCCAATATACAGTAAAAGTAATAATATACAGTAAAAGTATAAAATATACAGTATACAAAATATACAGTAATAGTATGAACAACTTTTTATACCAAATACATTTTTCAAAATAATTTACAGTCATTTATCTTTATTTTTATAAATGTAAAATTCTAAACACACATATAACCAAAAACACCCAAATTATGTGTTACATAACAGTCAACAATATTTATTTTTTATTTTTTTTCTCTATTATACAGATACACACGTATACATAAATACACTTTATTTATTGAAGAGAAATGTTGAGGTTATAAAAATCAACAAAAATTGTTTCCAACTTTAAGGAAGTTAGGTTAACCAATACGTTTAACATAAATGTGTATACATACACATGTAAAAAGAATATTGTTTCCTCAATAAGAAGCAAAGTGAAACGATGAGAAATCGTTTTTGAATTTTAAAAGTTGCATTTTGATATTTAATTGTGCCTAATTGAGCTGAGAATAGTTTTGCATTAACCGAACTAGCGGATATTGTAGTATACAGTTCTTCTATATACTCAAACTATATATATATATATTTCTATATACTTTAAGAATATTACGTATGAAAGAAAAGAACGGAGTTCACCGTTCACCAAGCCAACATTCTTGAAGAAACGTTCGTTTCGTTATTTCAGTTTACGAGTAACGTTTACAGGTAATAAGGAAAATGCCTTAAGGAAATATACATCATATGCTTGTGGTTTGTTTATTCTTTCATTTCTTTTTTTTTTTTCTATTATTTTTTGTGTTTCTCATTTACTCTTTTTTTACTTTATTATTATCCTAAGAAAGTTAAAACGATTTTAAGAGACATTAGAAAACATAGAAATAACTTTTTTTTTTTTAATGTACTGTATAATTTTATATATATATATATATATATTTGATTGTCCGGAAAGTTTGTGTTGATTTTTACAGAAGATTTAAATGCAAATTTGTTATAAATTTATTAAATTATATATAAGTGTTATTTTGTTTTACAATTTCTTATTCAATTTTAAAGTTAACCTTAAAATTTATTCCTTTCAAAACTTTTCATGGGTTTCTTTTTAGCAAAAGAACTTAAATGCCATCTATCGAAAATCTGTAAGAACTTTTCGGACAACCCAATATTGAGATCTCTAGCATTTGAATACGCTATCTGGTGGCTAAATTCAAAATTAGAGTAGATAGGTCGAATCGCTACACCACGTGGGATCTCTAGCACTTGAATACGCTATCTGGTGGCTAAATTTAAAATTAGAGTAGATAGGTCGAATTGCTAAGCCACGCACTTGACAGAGATCTCCCAATATTTATGTATGTTAAAGTAAAAAATTGAAATTAGAGAATATTTATTAATATTTTATAATGTTTATTAACATTATACTGTATAATTATATTATAAACTTTAATATATTACATTTTAGAATTTTCAGACCACTTATACAGTGTGGACATAGGTTATATTTATTATATATGAGCATTATTTTCATTTATTCATTGTGTAAGTATACTAAAATCTTTTCTATCACTTTGTATGATGTGTTATAAAATATTCAGCACTTTTACATGTAAGAATAAACTGTATATCTATTAAATTGTATATTACTGTTACAGCTACACCTCATACTATGGAAATAGGTTAGAAAAATATGCAATTTCCATCACATTTGAGGAATTTCAAAAGATTTCTGACAGTAGGACAATAATCATCAGATCTCCAATGGATTTTCAGCATACAATTGCAGCTTCAGAAGAATGTACTATGTTTTTTAGATTATTTTTTAAATTTACATCCTAATTTTTCATATAAATCAAAATTATATTAAAGAAATGTAAAAAAGAACCTTCTGTATGAAATTGAAAGTAATAAATATATTTTAATTTAATCCAATAATTAGTTCAAATTATTTCTATCATGTCACAACAATTCCTAAATCAAAAAAAAGAAAAAGAAATTTTCCGAGAAAATTTTCAGGTTTTCTCGAAAATCGGGATTTGTAACAGGATAACATGATGTGCGAGAAAGTGGCACGTTTTCGGCGATTCTTGGAAATGAGGTCAAGTTCCGAGAATTTTCAACCTTAATGACCTCATTTCCAAGAATTTCCAAAATTCTGAGAAACCTCATTTCCAAGAATCGCCGAAATCCTGCCACTTCCTCGCACATCATATTCTCCTGTTACAAAAGAAATTTTTCGACAAATTTTTCGACAAATTTTCGAAATTTTCTCAAAAATCGAGATTTGTAATAGGATCACATGATGTGTGAGGAAGTGGCACGTTTTCGACGATTCTTGGAAATGAGGTTTCTCCGAATTTTGGAAATTCTTGGAAATGAGGTCATTAAGGTCGAAAATTCTCGGAACTTGACCTCATTTCCAAGAATCGCCGAAAACGTGCCACTTCCTCGCACATCATATTCTCCTGTTACAAAATAAATTTTTCGACAAATTTTCGAAATTTTCTCAAAAATCGGAATTTGTAATAGGATCACATGATGTGCGAGTAGGTGGCACGATTTTGGCGATTCTTGGAAATGAGGTTTCTCAGAATTTAAAAAATTCTTGGAAATGAGGTCATTAAGGTTGAAAATTCTTGGAACTTGACCTCATTTCCAAGAATTTTCGAAATTCTGAGAAACCTCATTTCCAAGAATCGCCGAAATCGTGCCACTTCCTCGCACATCATGTGATCCTGTTACAAATCCCGATTTTCGAGAAAACCTGAAAATTTTGTCGGAAAATTTCTTTTTCTTTTTTTTGATTTAGGAATTGTTGTGACATGATAGAAATAATTTGAACTAATTATTTGATTTAATTAAAATATATTTATTACTTTCAATTTTATACAAAAGGTTCTTTTTTACATTTCTTTAATATGATTTTGATTTATATGAAAAATTAGGATGTAAATTTAAAAAATAATCTAAAAAACATAGTAAATTCTTCTTAAGCTGCAATTGTATGCTGAAAATCCATTGGAGATCTGATGATTATTGTCCTACTGTCAGAAATCTTTTGAAAGTCCTCAAATATGATGGAAATTGCATATTTTTCTAGCCCATTTCCATAGTATAAAGGCTGACTCTTATTTGATGACTTTTCCAAAGTTGGGTTATGATTTGTTCTTACCTAGATACCTAAATGAAATAAACAAAAGTATTATTTATTTATTAAAAAAATGTATTGTATAAATTACCTATAGAAGGGTGGAAAAATCCTGACTCTAACAAAGTGTAGGGCCCAAAAGTTCTTCATAGTCTCCATCTTGACGCAACTTACCTACAATTGTGACAGAAATTTACACCATTATTACATGTAAATACAGATTAATTAAGAAAATAATAACAAGATTCGATTGAGATACTAAACGTTTTAGAAAGTTCATGTTTCCCTAAAACAACACATGTATATGCTTACATGTGTATACATAAATTCACATAAACACACATATACATACATACACAAACAGATAAATACACGCATAATAAGTTTCTCGTTTTACGGAAAAGAAAGGACGATGATCCCACGAGAGAGATCTTTTCGCATAGTCAAAATGCAACCATAATATCGGACACGCGTGAGAACGGATTAACGTTCTGGGAATGGGAACACCGAAAGTTCTCGACATTTTCATGGAAGAAAGGAAAAAATATGTCGATCTAATCTTTATACATGTATATATATAATAATTAAGTATATATATACATGTTTGAATGTTGCTACATTTATATATCTTTAAACCTAACCTCTGTCACATGAATGAAATCTTTCAAAACCAAAAATACAACTCATTTTAATGAATCAATATTAAATTATATTAAAGTATTTTTTTTTTTTTTTTCAAGGATTTATGTTTAGTTAACTTTCGTCATTAAATAAATTACTTTAAATAGTGTCATTTTGTTTTATTATGATTGCTGTTGCAATAACGACAAAGAAACAGAAGAATAAGAATGAAAATGATGAGTATTAAAGATGGCGGATGATTAAGAGTAGGAGTGGGGATAGTCGAGGGAAGATGGAGGAACATGAAGCAACGACAAAATCGTAGAAAAAAATTTTGTTTTCTTTCTACGATCTCTTTCTTTCTCTTTTTCAATCGAAAGAACAAATCTTACGTAAGAGTATATCCTATGCAAATTTGTTTCATTTCAAACTAGTAATCTTTCTCTTTCGATATTTACTTTGATACGATACTATCGAAATCGTCGATCATGCGAAAAGAAACGATTCCTATTCACGTATGTGCGGTTTAGGTTATATAGATAAACAAGTTTAAAAAGTAGAACTCTGGTTTGTTACGTTAGATGAATGTTAAAACTTGAAATGTGATTAAAACCAGATCTATATTTCTTAATACCGTTAACATTTCAAACGCAGGTTACTTGTGCGGTTAACCTATAAAATTATTTATACAAGTATATCATATTTTTGTTAATATATAAATTAAAAATTGAAATATATATATACTAGTTTGTGAGTTACTGTGACTTATGTGAGCCAAAATATGCTGTAGTATCGTTAAATGTTAGGTTATGTTCAAATATTTCGCGCCCTCTTTGAAATCTATGGCTTACAGATGGCACTGAACTTAACTGTATCTTTTTCTTTTGTTTCTGAATTTAATTAAATGTAATAAAAACATATCTGTATGCGAATGCAACGTTGTGTCAAAATTTCAAAACAATTAATAAAATACTTTTGGAGATTAGAGGTTAGGAACAAACGAAATTACTACATTTTTATAGATCGAGATCTGTAGCACTTGAATACGCTATCTGGTGACTAAATTCAAAATTAGAGTAGATGGGTCGAATTGCTACACCACACTTCTGCCAGAGATCCCAATACAAAGATATATATAAAGAAAAATATAGGTTATGTCGTATGTAAATTGAAATACAGTGCCATCTATCGAATATTAACATAACCAAAAGACCTAGATAACCTCTAAATAATAAATCAGTGAAATTTGTGATACAAAAATACAAAATAATTGCGATAAAAATTAATTTATGTTTTAAATTGAAAATAATTACATAAAAATAAACAAAAATTTCATTAAAGTTGGATTAAGTAATTTTCAAATTAATTGGAAAGTAAACAACGTGACACACTGAATTTTTATATATTATTGTTAATTAAATTAAACTTAATTTTTTTTTTATACACTTTTACCAAATTACATGTATTGTATAATCCATAGAAAAATAATTAAAGCCACCACGTGTGATATTTTTGACTTACTATGTAATAAGTTATACCATATTGTAATGTACATAATCGTAAGTACATAATTCTAATTTGAGAAAAAAAAAACAATGTTACATTTATGGTAATAAATGATACTACATAAGATTCTATAATGATTGTGTAAAATGTTTTATGGTGAAGAAATCTGAATCAAAGGACGTAGATCGACCTAGCCATATTTGTCATTTAACTCGTTTGTCTGTTACTTTAAATTCTATATTAGGATTTGAAAGTATACTTACTAAGAAAATTGTCCGATTTGTCGTCTTTCTACGTATATACTATTATTATAGAAAATTGTTAATTTCGAAAGAATGTAACTAGTCATATAACGCGTGTCTGTTGGATTATGTTCTATTAAACACGCTAGAGACACAAGAACAGAATAAAAGCTGTAAAAGCGGATGCATGCAATTTTCTCGCCTACTCGATGCAATCTTCGGTTAATGTGACATTGCACGATAGGTTTCGTTTTACTAATTTCATTTTATTTTATTTTATTCTATTTTTATATATAAAAATTCAGTGTGTCATATTTGTTAGTTTTTCAATTAATTTCAAAATTACTTAACCCAACTTTAACGAAATTTTTGTTTATTTTTATGTAATTATTTTCAATTTAAAACATAAATTAATTTTTATCGCAATTATTTTGTATTTTTGTATT